ACTATACACTCATAACAGTCACCGCCTCCAAAACAACCCCATAAAGCCCACCTTTCAAATCAAAAAGAGATAAGCTTCAAAACAACTGTTCAAGACTACTTTGCTATACTTTGAGTGCAGCTCAGAAATAGATGAACCTTTTCATATTTAACCCTTACGATGAAAATTCCAGTTGCTTGCTCCGATCATCAAGAGTAAGCACGTTGCTATGCTTTTTCAATATTAGTAAAGATCATTATAATAAGCATAAGTGATTACTTTTATCAACATTACTATAACCGGGTAAAATTGCCGATATCACTGTAAAATACGGTAAATATAGAGACCAAACAACTTGAACATCACAAGAAAGATCAGTCCTACCACAGTAGGATCATAAGATGCAGCTAAAACGAGGTTATTATGGAAAGTGAAACAAGTCGACAACTTATTAAACTGAACAAGATAAAAACGTAGTATAAGGTCGGGTAATTTAGCTTTAGCCTGCACGAGTAATTCCTCTACCGCTCCACAGCATCTCAATAACAGTTTCATCAATCAGCGTCGATGTGTCACCCAGATCAACTGACTTGTTACCCTCAGCAATCTTACGAAGAATGCGGCGAGGCACCTTACCTACAGTGAAAAAAATACAAGTTCAAACCAAACCTATGCAAATAAAAACTGAGAAGGTACCTGAACGAGTTTTTGGAAGTCCTGGAGCTTCTTGGATGATATCTGGGACAGCAATTGCTCCTATCTTTTTGCGAACAAGTAACTTTAACGAATCAGATTTTTCGTCAGTTAATCTCTCTCCCTGAAAAATTTAGGTGCTAAATGCCAGTCTAAAATGCAGTTAAACAATGAAACAACAAATTTAAAATTTACTCAAAAGTTCCTCAGTACTACTTTTGCTCTACAATTTTTCTAATGGAAACGAAAAATTGTACTAATAAATAAAAACAATGTGAAGAAGCTACTATTTAAACTTACATTACGCATATGCACAAATGCGTATGGGAAACTCCCCTTGATATCATGCGGGGCAGCAACAACAGCTGCTTCTACAACACTAGGATCCGATGCTAAAGCGCCTTCAATTTCAGCAGTGGAAAGCAAATGACCAGACACATTCATCAAGTCATCTACACGACCTGAAAATGAAAATCATCACAGAAACGTTTACTAAAATCAAATATTGCACTCACTTACCAGTTATCCAAATATATCCATCGTCATCCCGTCGAGCACCATCTCCTGTGAAGAAGTGACCACGAAACGGGTTGAAATAGGTTTCTTCATAACGCAAGTGGTCTCCAAAAATAGTTCGCGCGATCCCTGGCCAGGCACGTTTAAAACACTAGAAAGCAGTCCAGTATAACAAAATTAAAAGAACTGCAGATACAAAATCCAAAATCAAAATACCAGGTTGCCTTCACCCGGCCCTTCTATCTCACGTCCCATATCATCAAGTATCGCCACTTCTACACCAAAAAATGGCAGAGTAGCGCTGCCAGGTTTGGTATAGGTTGCTCCTGGTAAAGGCGCTATCATATGTCCTCCGGTCTCAGTTTGCCAATAAGTGTCAACGACAGCACAGTGTTTCTCCCCAGCAACCTAGAGATAACTATCAAAGTAGGGAACCACTTAAGTGAAAAAATTATTCTGTGAATTTGAACATACATTGTAGAACCATCGCCAAGCATCAGGATTTATTGGTTCGCCCACTGAACCTAAAATTCGAAGTGATGACCTGTCATGCCTATCTACATAACTATTCCCAAATCCCATCAAAGCTCGAATCGCAGTGGGTGCCGTGTACAAAGTCGTTACCTAGACATAAATCATATTTACCGACTTGGTACGACAACAAACTTCAACATCACCTATTGCCAAAAATTACTTTATATTTCTCAACAATCTGCCACATCCGTGAAGGCGTTGGATAAGTTGGAATGCCTTCAAACATCACTGACGTTAAACCATTGAGAAGTGGTCCGTAAACCAAATAGGAATGCCCAGTAATCCACCCGCAGTCCGCAGTACACCTGAAAGCACCAAAACAACTGTAATAAGACCCATCAATCCAATTGAAAACTCAAAAGCGAAAATTACTTTAATGCTACGCTACTGTAAATACAACAAATTTTAAGTCTTCAACAAACCAGTAAATGTCAGAAACGTGAGCGTCGAAAATAAATTTCGTGGTAGCATATGCATAAAGCATGTAACCAGCTGTTGAATGAACTAGGCCTTTAGGTTTTCCCGTCGAACCTGATGTATAAAGAATAAATAAAGGATCTTCGGACTCGCACCACTCCACAGGAGACCCGGTACCAGCAACTCGTGACATCTCATCCTCCCAAAAAACATCCCTGTCGGGATCAAAAACTACCTGAATTGCACAGTCTGGTAGAAGCAATTAGGAAAAAACAACATAAAAAAATAAAACACTTTAAAGACAGAAGGTAAAAGCCATAACTCAAAGCAAAGCCAAAAAAAACTAGTCAAATATAGCCTACTTCAGGTATGACGTTCCCATTTGGACGACGAATTCGATGGGCATGACGCACAACAATTACCGTCTTTAAAGGCAGGCCCTAAACTAATCATACTGAAAAGTTAAAGAGATTACACCGTAATAACTGAAGAAAAACATGTTAAAATCTAACCTTTGAGGTGCAAGCAGCAACAGCTTGATTCGCCACAGATTTAATAGGAATCAGTTTTTTCCCACGGAAATAAATATCAGCGGTTATCAAAATACGAGACTTTGCTTGTAAAATTCGAGTCGCAAGAGCATCGGCGCTGTAACCAGCGAACACAACCGAATGAACTGCACCTATACGCGCACATGCTAACATAGCAATTGGTAATTCCAAAATCATCGGAAGATAAATTGCAACAACATCCCCCTTAAAGGAAAAATCGCCAGTAGAAGAGTCAGATTCATAACGAGTACAAAGTAAGAAAATCCATGCTTTGAAAACTGTGACTTAAGTACTCTTATGAAGTCACAGCTTTCAAAAAAGTTTAGTCAAATTTCAAAGCTACCTTTTTAACTCCACGAGAACGTAAAACAGCAGAGAAAGCTATAACTTTATCAAGCAGTTCCTGATAACTAATTGAACAACTATCCCCTGGTTCATTGCCCTCCCACATGTAGGCAGTACGGTGTCCATAACCTTCAGTAAAATTTGAACAAATTAATAATTTGAACTTTTATCACAGTTTATGAATTCAAGTAACTTAAAATTATGAAAAAAGCCCAATATGTCGCTGCCTTAAAAATTAAAAACTTATTTTAAAAGTAATATCAACGAGTTTGTTGCCGAAAAAAAAATGAAATAAAACAACTTTGGACGGAAAGTGATGAAAATTAAAAAAGATGAGAGAACTAAAAGATGACATAAAATCACCGTTGCGAATGTTACGTTCCAAACAGTTATATGCAATGTTAGTACGTGCACCATCCATATACCTGACAAATACGTTGCCTTTATGAGAATCGAAATTCCATTCCAAACCCTAACAAAAGGTGCTATTAAAGAACAAAAAACTTCATCAAATGAGTAGATTATAGAAATGCAGATAAGCAAATAAATAAAACTAGGGGACTGAACAAGCGAAAGAAATGGCAAATTATCCGCCTTTGAAAAAATTCATATAAAGCTCAAATTTATTGTTTAATCAAACAAAAGTTTCAAAAAATTTTGGTAAGGACCTAGGAGTAATTAGCAGTAAGGATTCTGAATTAACGTCAGTACTCATTTGAGGATATTTTTGATCGCGTTCCGACGTTAAAAATCGAAATTCAAGTCACTTCTCAAAAAAATGTCCTTTTGAGAAACCGAAATGTCTTCTTCAAAAAAATTTTAAAAAAAGAGGAGGAATATAAAACGCATAAATGGCAAAAACAAGAAAAATGTTTTGAAAATAAGTTGGATCAAACTGGACGAAAACGATAACCCCGATCGCCTGATGATAAAAAAACGACATCAAAAGCCAATTATTTCAATGACAATGGTAATCACTACAGTAAGCAACATCACAAAGGCCTACTTCAAAAGTTTGAAACATCAGTAGAAGATGGTATTATTCATATGCAATTTAGCAAACAGGAAGAGAGATTAAAACGTATAAAAAAAAAGCAAAATAGAACCTTTTCAGACTCCTTTTCAAAGCATAATTGCTTCGCAACGGTCCTCCAGAACTCATCAACATTATTTATCGAGTCTTTGTACATATCATAGTACGATTGCAAGCCAGCGACGTGAGCACCTTTAAAAAAACAATTTTTTCTTTTTAACGAGTACCACTTAATTAAGGAAACCTATGTATTCTACATTAAAATTAACTAATGATGACAGAGATACTCCTCATTAAACTTGAAACGCTGACCAGCTAGAAGTGGAGCTGGCGGTGCAAACCACTCATTTTCGTCCTCTGCAGGAGGCTCAATAGCGAAATTAACACGAACGTCAGACATTCTCTCAAACTTTCAAATTTAGAAGTTCAAATAACCTGAAGAAGAATGATACACTATTAAACGTCAAATCCCTTTCCGTCTACCAAGTAAGACACGTTACTAACAAAAAAGTTCAAAAGAATAATGGTGGAAGAACAGAACTGAACAGCAATTACGGTCATAATGAATGCTGTTGTTAATAAACACTGTTACTTTAAACAGTTTTAATGTTAATAGAAGATATATTAAACAACAATAACATTAATAGAAAGTATATCACGTATAGAAAAGCTTTTAATTTTATTACAGTAATAATTCTAAGGTAGCAACCTTGAAATTTGTGATAACATTAAAATGCCAATGACGGTAATGACAATGTTAATAACTACTATTTCAGTTACGATAAAAGCATCAGTAAGAAAAGCAATAATAATTATAATCATAATAATGATAATAACAATAGCAATAATAATAAGAGAGACATATGAGTCATGAACAACATGTCAAGCATTAAACAACTTGAAATTAAACATTCAGTTATTACCGTTATTTAACGGAACACTAAGTGGTGATCTGTATTCATTCCACGCTGGATTCCAACCCTACTCCCCTCATCAATTTGCAGTGTTGTTAACACGATAACGAAACCGAATGATGACTGCACCTCTGTGGCCAATGCAAGTTCAGCTGCTACATAACTAAACGAAACTGCACTAAGCGAATAATGACCAAAAAGAAGCAAGAGTAAACATCGAAATTGAAAATGCAACACTGCGCACCGCCATTTCGCTGGCCGCAATAGATTGCAAATGGCACAAGCCTCTAAGCGGACTGCTGCACTGATTTATAGGAGGCTGTCCCTTTATCTCAGCCAATCACCAAGGGTGTGGCCGGAACCGAGCCCGCCTATCTAGGCAAAATAGAAGAGCAAGATTTTAGTGAGCTTAGAACGCGACAACTGTGACAACTATGGTAGACCTGTTCGGCCCATTTTTGGATCTTTGAACTTCCGACGTCGCTCGCGACAAATCCTTGTCTTCCAACGTCCGTGGGCGTTGCATACTCTTGAACATACACCTACTTCATTTCGACTCTGAAAATCTTTTGGAAAAAAAAAAAATTTTCAAATAAGCAAAGTTCAATAATTTTTCAAAAGGTTATTTAAATACAAAATCAAACAGTTCAATTAGCAAAAACAGATATTTAAGACCACAGTATGTTCAGTCTCAGGATCAATTACCATAAACCAAAATTGAAAGCTGTTCAAATAAATTTGAATTGTTACAATCTATTTCTAAAAAAAATTTTCATGATAAAACAGACTGTAAAAATTCAAATAAATTTTGAAAAAAATGACAAGTGCGATGAGAAAAAAGACATCTGCTAATAATGTATGACAAATGTAAACGAGAAATAACTAAAACACGCCATTCTTCAAAAATATGTAAATTTTTTGCTTTCTAGGATTAACTACCAGTAAAAGTTCAAAAAAAAAAAAAAAAAAATAAATAAATAAACAAATGAATAAAATAAAATAAAAATGAAAAAGTGAAACGAACAAGAAGTGGAATAAATTAAATAAAACATTTGAGGAACATGAATTAAACTAATACTGAAGTTGATGTGCAGTAATGGACTAGGCAAATCCGAAACAACCGCGTTCACCAGTGGCTAACGAAGGTAATAAATCAAGTAGAAAAAAAACTAAAAGAAGAAAATGAAAAAAGAGAACCTCTCAAGTTGCCCAATTCACTGAGCCACTGGGGGCAATTCTCTCAGTGATGCGGAAACTGGAGACGAATTAAAGTTTTAAAGTAAACAGTCACTGAATTTTTGAAACCTTGTTGGCAACTCCACCGTTCCTTGTGCTATAGTCGCTAAGATGTCACTATTCATCAATAAACAATGGTAAAAATACCACGATAAGGCAGGCAAAATTTTGTTTCAAAAATAATTCTTCAAAACAAATTACAAATACGATTAAAACCTGTAATTAAAATTTTTCTGCAAGATAGAATGCAATTCAGTTAGATAAAATTTTATCTTGAAACTGAAAATTAATCACCACAATTCGGTGAGAACTACTTGACCAAATAATACTAAGCAGTAATTAAATAACGATAAACTAAAATAAATTAGTTTAATTTCTGAGTAGCAATAGCCAAAAACCTGGAAATGTTGACGCACCACAGAATTAAAAAACAACTTAGCTCAGCTTACACAAATTATTTAAAAATTTTCCAAGTATTAAATTTCGTAAAATGATAACTGTACTTCCGTTATAAAACAATAAATATCCTTTTTTTTCCTATTATAAACTCAAGGTGTCCATTATTTCAACATGAATTTTTTTTAGTTGAAATGGTACTATGGAGGTTTTGTTCTATATCAGTGTTATGTGGGTAATGCAACAAACATGTGATCGGAAGGGTAAACAGCAAATGTATAAGTATCAAAATATTTTGGGGTATAAAATCGTAAAAAAAAGCTTAATTCACAGGAAACGCACAAATATATAAGTTGGTTACGTGTGTTCCACATACCGCAACCTTAAACTGCTCTCCTTTATATAACAGATCAAATTTGTTTCAATTCATTTTAAATACTCAGCGTAATTTTCAAAAATAAATAAAGGACAATTTCGAAAATAGTCCTTTTTACGCCTTTCGTCTAAAATTGTTAAAGCATCCATTCAAGTTTCTAGTCCTAAAGTTAAACTACTTTCTTCTTTCTGTTTCTTCTATTTTTTTCAAAACTGATGTCACAATTCAGCAATATCAAATTGAAAAAAATTTAAAGTAATGCAGTATAAAAACTTCAGTAATAACTGAATAAGTAAGAAAAAAGCTGTTCTGGAATCACAATTCTTTTGCAATGTTATATAATTGCTTCCATTTCTGTAACCATTTCGTCAAGAAAACGTCTTCAAAAACTGTCGTAAGTTTAATAATAACAAGTGAAATTTACTTTGAAATAAACAGTCAAGACAATCCAATTTGGTACTTGAAAAATTCAAAAAATTAAAAAAATTTTTCAAAACACTTACAACGAGACAGAATCTTGAGCTACATATACAGTAAAGTATTAGGAGAAAAATTTAAACTTTCTGTGGTTATTCTCGCATAAAGGAATGAAATAAATCCGTAACCGCTTTAAATCCTCATTCTACATCTTTCTCTCAAACACGAAAATGTAATAGAACTCAGAACAATATATACAAACAATTTTTAAAGCTTAAAGCACTTAGCAACCTCTATGCATAGTTAATTTCCAATAAAACTAGTTTACTTCCATTTTGCATATTAAAGCTTAAGAAGAAATTTATATGAGGAATGAACAAACTCCCAGCAAAAAAAAAAAAAAAGAAAAAAAAAATCGAAAACAAACTTGCACAAAAAATCGCTCACAGAGCATCAGTAATGACAACTTCTCTTATTTCTTGAAATTAGAAATTGAAAAAATCAAGGCGAGAAGCCATATATTTATAGACTAAGAAACAGATAAATATTGTTAAACAATAAATCACTTACTCGTTCCTATCAGCTTAGTGACCACAATCAATTTTTCAGCCAAAATCTTACGACCTTTAACTATATATTAAAAAAAAAAAAATAAATCCCATCCATGTACGAAACTGCTCTTCACTTGATTACAGTTTTCAGCAAGTTCCACAAGAAAGAAATGGCAGCTTCAATAATTTTTCCAATTGCCAAACATTTGCAAGCCACAAATTGTTGAAATATAACTTGGAATTTCCCACTCTTATTCCAAATTTTGTTTTATTACTGCTGTATGAGGGTCAATTCTTTATTATAAAAAACCGATACCTCAACTATATGTATCGCATTTAATTCCTAAAAAAATTTGTAAAGTTATCAAATTTCTAATTTACCCTTGCTAGAATAGGTATATTGTAAGATCATTACATTATACAGAAATAACTTCCTTTAAATGAACAAAAATACTCTTACTTAACAACAACTGTTTTAGTAAGGTGCTCATCAGAAATAGTAGACAACCTCTACCTGGTTACTTATGCTTAAACATGGGAAAAAAACCACC